AGATTCTCATCTCATCTCCACTTGGGAAGAGTATGCTTTTCCCTCCCATGATCCCTACCCCAGAGCGTATGCACATGTGCACACACCCATACACATGACTGGGGGAGGCAGGGAGAGGCACTCAGCAAAAGCTATTCTTTGTGTTTTCAGTGTTATCCACTTAGTAGCAATAGTTTACTTTCAGAAAGGCTAGTCCTCAGAGACTAGGGAGAGAACTGTTCTTCCATCTTCCCCCAAACCTGAGTCTCCAGTATCTCCTCAGCCAGCAGGAACTTCTTGAGCACTTGCTGTGCTCCTTGAACCTACGCACAGTAAACAGGAAATTGCTAATAGAAGGCCTGGTTTCTCTAGAAAATGCCACCAGCATGGAACAAACACATTCCGAGTTAGTTTAAAAAATCTCCCACACTAGATCACTAGAATGTGTTAGAAAGGATGCTTCAGCCTACCCAGACTGCCCCAGAATCTTCAGCTGGACAGAGGCAAAGGCCTGGGGTGGAAGGAGCAGGCAGCTCTTTCTCTCACCTTGGTTTTATATACCCTGGGTCTTTCTTCTTGGAATGTCCCATCATATCTGGACTGTCTGGCAATCTCCCCCTCATCCTTCAGGCACAAATGGCTCTTCTGACCCTTCTCCCACCCCACTGGGAACCCACAGCATTTTTATAGCAGCATTCACCTAAAAGGCACAAGCCATACTTTAGGCTTCTTTGTAGGTGCCCCAGCACCTGGCATGGAGCTTGTTTGCTGAAAAAATGGATAGGGCTCCCTGAAGAGGTGTTAGGAAGAGAGCAGAAACCTTATGAACCCAAACATGGTAGCTCCTTGCAGCACTCAGAGACTCTTGGGTCCAGGCCTCACTCGTCTCTGTAAAATGGAAGTTGAAGTATCTGTTCTTTCCCTCTTGTGATTCCAGAAATACCAAGAATTAATTCATTTAGTCAGCAAGCATTATACTACTGTCAGGCTATTCCTAAGGATCCCTCAGGAAGTAGAACTCCTAGCACCTGCTACCATGGAATACACAGTCAGATTGGGGCACACCCTCCCCCAGATACAAGGGCACAGGCAGATGAAAACCCTTATGCTGCCCTTCTCTGAGCCTCAGTCTCCTCTTCTGTAAAATGGAGGTAATATCTACTTCTTGGTATTATTATAAGGATGAAAGGACATCTGTAAAATACCAAAGCTATAGGTACCACTGCTGTGACTACCGTTATTATTATTTTTTTGATATCATTAATATACAATTACTTGAACAACATTATCGTGACTAGACTCCCCCTATTATCAAGTCTCCACCACATACCCCATTACAGTCACTGTCCATCAGCGGACTACCATTATTTTTATTCTTATTATTATTCTACTCTTGTAACTTATAAAATACTTTCATAGCCATTAACTCATTTCATCTTCATGAGGGCTATTTTATCAGCATGTATATGACTATTCTCACTTCCTGAATGTAGAAACTAAGGCTCAAAAGGAATAAGTGTTTTATTCAGAGTCAGTCAACCAGTAAGTGGCAGAGCCAGGACTCTGAACTAGATCCTGTAATTCCTATGCTGTCCACAATATCATCCGATAGATAAACACAGACCAGAGACTACAAACCCAATTGTTAATGGGGTAGATGGCGGGTGGTGGAGTTAATCAAAAAGGTTGTTACAAGTTTGAAGTTCTAAGATGAGTTTTATGATGGTCTAGTAGTGGTAGACCAGTCCAGGAGAAGGTGTTCTGATAAGGTGAGATCCCAGCAAGGAGGCACTAGTGGTTGCCTCACACGTGGAGAGCAGCTCAGCCTGTTGGTGCCTCCAGAAATAGGATTGGCCAGGGAAGGGGCTGAGCTGTCTGCTCAGGGGATCCTGAAACCATCTCTAGCTCAGAAAGCAGTGGTCAGGGGACAGTTTGGGAACAGTGGCTCTTGAGGCCATGTATTGAATGGCCGAGTAAGCCCGGACTGGAAGACTACAGAGGGATGGTTTTCCAGGTGAGACAAGGGTAGGAGGAGGTGCTGGGGAGAGCCAACTCCTTTCTCTAAACTCCTGAAGCACCAGTTCAGGCTCAAGGGCCAGCCAGAGCTGGGGGTAAAACCCAGGGTCTTCATTTATTTACCTGGGTAAACTTGAGCACACTACCTACCTTCTTTGTACATGTTTCCTCATCTATTTAATGAGAATCAGGTTCTCTGCCATTTTTGCCTTTGAGGTTCATAACGAGCCTCAAATGAAGTTGTGTCTACAGAGAAGTTCTTTATAGACTGGGAAGTGCTAGCAGAGTAGGTTGCTGCATTCTCTGGTACACAGTGAAAGCACCAGCAGCTGTGGCCACATCCTGAATGGGCCCGTGGAAGTCTCTTGTCTGTCCCTGCCCCAGCCCGACAGGACCCTCCAGGCTCCTGGCCCTCATCCTCAGCCAACCTGCCAACTACACACCCTGGGGCTTGCCTTCCCAGTCCTTCCTAGCTGCTTCCATTTTTCATTCTGTCGGACTCCATCTGCTTGGCTGTTTTTCTCTTCAGATATTATTAGAAATATCCCAAGTTGTAATTGTTTAATGGTTGGCATTTCGCCTGTTTCACGGGGGGCCCAGATCAAGCCCACCCCAGACTTATGTCCTGGGTCTGCAGAATTGACCAGGGACAGCTGTGCAGTGGAGTCTGCCTGGCATTATAAAGAGCTCTCTCCCAGGTGCATTATTAGAAAAGAAGGGGAAAGATGGCCCCAGGCATAATCCAATTCTCCATTCTCCATGGTGTGTTTGAACTGCATAGCCCAGCAGTGTGCAGCTTTCAGTGGGCTGGGAAGCTTCCCTTAAAGAGAAGTCAGGATCAGAATCTTAGGTGCATGGCACCTGGGAACCCCATTCTCCACCATCACCCCCTGTTGGCCCTCTGTTTGAGAGATGCTTTGGCATCTCTGCTCCCCAAATACCTCATGAAGCCTGAACCCAGTTTATGCTCAGCTTCTTTCCAATCTAGATTCTCAATTCAGCTCACTTTTGGAAGAATGTGATTACTTTCAGATGACCCCTCTCTTACCCCCACCACTACACATATCCACACAAAGTGTTCACAGGAGTCTGGCCTTTGTCATTTTATAATACCTCCTTCACCAAATATGCACACACACACCCATGAGTTCCTGTTTCTCTCAGACACTGGGGACCTTCTCCGCCAGGCTTGAACTATCCACTTCATCCCCAGCCTGCAGGTACCTGTGAGGCCTATGGGTTCCTCTGATAGCCAGGCCTTCCAGAGGACCAGCCGGTTAGTTTAGAGACAGTCTGGGACCTAGCCCAGGGGAGAGGCTGGACTCAGGCCCCTCTCAGGGAATGTCTCCTGGGCAGGCAGAGTGGCTGGTTCTGATGTCCATTAGGTTGCAAGGTTTCCATGTTTCTGCTGAGGCCAGAACTAAAAGTACTTTAGTAGCAGCATCAGAGGTTGAGGTGAGAAAGACCACAGCATGGACCTGAACTCCTAAGGCAGTTCGAGACCTTTTTAATCTTCGATCCCACCCACAACTACCCATATTTTCGCCTGTCTCTCCACGTCGGTCATGCTGGTCCCCTTTGCCTCTTCAGATCCTGTCCAGCCTCCATAACCTGTCATCAGTCCTACTTCTTTCAAAAAGCCTTCTCTAACCTCTACAGATACTTCTTTGAAACCCAGCCACACAGATTGTACTACACAGTTTAGCATTTAGGATCTTTGCTCCTCAAGACTGGCAGACACATCCCTAAGACCATCAGCCTCTTCTTGGTTGACGTGGTTTCCAGGCCTTGTCCTCTGACATATCTCCCTTTGTTAATTCCCTCCCTGGCACTCTGGGGACCAGAACACACACACTGTTCCATCTGCAGACCCACCTTGATACTGCACAGTGCTCTGTCCCTTCCTGCCACTGACTGCCGTGTTTCCCTTAATGCAACCCAAATTGATACTTGCTTTTTTAAGTAGCCATATTTGACCAAAAAAAGGAGACAAGTTTAGAGAAGAACAACTCTACGATCACTACCAATCAACTAATCTGCTAGTTGTGTGTCTTTGGCAGGTGCCTTTATCTCTTGCCTCAGTTTCCTGTTTAGTATAACGGAGAATGCTTTCCTCTCAGGGTGTTTGCTCAGGTCTTGAGTAATAAAATGGCAATTTTTCCAATTGTGCCTAGCAATAGCATATTCAATAAGTGACTCTTCTTCTGATGGTTCTGCCTTGTTCCACCCCTGCTCTTGTGCTTGAGTGATGCTTGTGGGCCTGATTCTCCCACTCGGGTAGTTGGGCACTTAATTTCCTCACCTTGAATGATTATATACTTCCTTCTGAAGAGGAGAGCTCAGGTCTCACTCTAGCAGAGCTCAGCCCTCAGAGCTGAACCTAGTACATATCTACCCCATTGAGGCCATGGGTAATGGAGGTGCTGACCAAGTGGCTCACCCTTCTGTGCCCTGAGCACCACACTATCCTTGATTGGCTTCCAGAAAGTGCATTTGACTACATTTCCAGATAGAAGACCAGACCTTGGTTTCCCCAAATGGAAAAGAGTCCAGAGCTCACACCCCAGATCCCCAAGGGCCTACCGTGGGCTTTTGCCTCTCCCATTTGCACAGGCAGGCTCAGTCTCCCACCAGTGGTGCATAAATGGGTGACAAGCCAAGAGCTAAAATTCCTCTCGAACTCTCCTTCAGCAACCTCTGACCCCCTCCACATCCATTCACCATCCACCCGCCTCTCAGTTTCCCTGGCAACACTGAGTGCTCATCCTGGAAAACTTTATCCGAAATCTGCTCTGGGCAGCTTTCCAAATCCATGCTAACCTGATTAGGTGTCTCTAGGGACCTTGCCAGCTAATCAGATTAGGCAGCACTAATGGTAGTGAGGACTTTGAGTGGGCGCAGAGCAGTAAAACATATTGTATACTTAGTGATAATTATCCTGCCTTTTGTGTCATTGATTTATCTGCCTCCCTCCCTGTACCCCCATCTTCTGTGTTTGGCCATAGCAATCCGGAGGAAGGAGAATGGCTGGTATGACGAAGAACACCCTCTGGTCTTCCTGTTCTTGGGATCATCTGGAATAGGTAATGGAGCAGATTGGCCAGTAGGGAAGGAGAGCTGGGGAGGCCCCAGCTACTATGGGCCAGGGTCACACTACCCACCTCTGGTTCAACTCCAGCTCCCAGAACAACTGCCTCCAAAGAAAAGAATCAGCAAGAGGATCATCTGTTACATTAGGAACAGCTGGAATTATGTCCCTCCCTCTGGAAGCAGTAGTACAGGACCTAATTCACCTGGAGGGCCAGGCTCTTTGGGGCCTGTTAGCCCTGGTCCAGCCACTCTGCATCTCCAGAGGCTGACCTTTAGGAACAATTGAACCACTTCCACTGCCAACCTTAGTACAGCCTGAGACATAACCCTCTAGAAGGATCAAGAAAGCCCCTGATGGCCAGTATCATGCTAGGTGCATAGCAAAATTGGTTGCAGTAAAATGGGTTAGGTATTTTTCTAGCCAGTTGGGCTGGGTTATCTGAGGCATTCTCACAGACCCCACTACCTCCACCACCTCCCACCATTGTCCTGATGGGGAATTTCACGCATTTGTTTCCTCCTCTTTCCCTCTCAGTATCTTCATGGACCTAGCTTTCCCTTAGATGTAGGGTCCCATCATCTCACCATGATACTATAGAACTTGACTCCCTGTGTGAGACAGTGTCTTCCAAAGGCTTGACCATGCCAAGTGGCCTTTCAGAGCCACCACTTTGGTAGTGTCATTCCTTGTTTATCTTACAAAAAAGGCTGTGAAGCCAAGGAGAGGTGCTCTTTAACCTCTCCCAGCCTCTGTATAATCTGTGGCTTCAGGGCCCAGCTGGATGGAAAGATTATGGGTATCTAGACAGATGTGATGCAGTGAGCCAGGAAGTCAGATTGCTTCCAGGAGAGGCAAGGTTTGTGCTGGGTGTCAAAGGACAAGTTGGCTCTGGCTTATAAGAGTCAGCCTTAGGATGCTTCTGGAGAGAAAAAGCCTTAATCCCCATCCACAGAAAATGAAGATGCAGTGCAGACTTTGGTTCTGGTCTCAACTTCACCATTAATTCCCTCAGTAATTTGGGAGAATTACTGCCTCTTCCTGAGCCTCTACATTCCCATCCATAAAATATATTATTTCCTACATCCATGCATTTCTAATATTCTTTCATTCCAGGAGATAGTCATCTGATCCTAACCCAATGCCTCTCCCTTCCTTCTTACTAGGTAAAACAGAGCTGGCCAAGCAGACTGCCAAGTATATGCACAAAGATGCTAAAAAGGTAAGGCCTGGGCCCTAGGCCTGATCTGTAGGCCGTGGAGAACTTGCCACTCCTGCTAGTCCAAAACCTCCTTTGCTCCCTGAGACCAACAATAGCCAATCAAAAAGATGGACCCAGGAATCAGGCCTCAGCTCTAGCCCCAACTTGGCTGCCAGTTGCTTCAGGAATTTGGGCAAGTTACCCAACCCTTTTGTACCTCAGTTTCTTCATCTATGAAATAGGAAGAATAACGCTTGCTCTGCCTGACTCTTGGGGCACTTGGGAGAACTCAGTGAGATTCATCCATACATTTTCAAGCATCTACTCTGTGCCAGGTATTGTACTAGACCCTGATAATTCAGCATTTTTCAAGATGCTCTCCCTGCCCTCAGGAACTCAGTCATGAGAAGAAACCAGTTTTAGAAACATACCTTTACTGTTCAGCACCATCCAGGCCATGCTAGAGGGAGTCTTGGGGCCTGTAGGAGAAAACAAGTAGGACTGAGAGGATGTCTATTGCTTCTTTCCATCGTACGTGAGCTTTTTAACCTTTCTTATGCTCTAAGCTTGTGAGGTAGTCACTGCCCCCTTTCTCCCATGACTTGAAGCCCTGAATTCTCCATAGGGGAAGGCCATCCCCATCCCTTATTTGCTCAGGCTCTGGCTTTCCAAGACCTGGTCAGTTTGACTTCCTAGGCTGCCAGGATATGCTTCCATGCAGAGAGAAATGTCTCAGAGAGCAATCCTTCCAAACATTCTTCTTTCTACCAGCCTTCCCATTGTGGAGGCTGAGGGCCCCCAGCCACCACCATAGGTTGCCCACAACCCCAGATGCCCTTGCCTAGTGTCTATGGAAAGCCTCCCAGCCAACGTGATGAAGAATGGCTCAGGCCTCTGCTGGCCAAACTGCCTAGGTAGCAGTGTCCCAGCCACCAGCTGTTCTGCTTTTGACCTGGCTGCAACCTTTGCCAACACCTCGCTGCCATAGAAACAAGGTAGCTTGGTTTGTGTCCTCCTGAGCCACATCCATGGTCCCCTTCTGCCTAATAACTGCTGAAGGCTCCATAATGCTGGCTGTCAGTAGCTATGCTCTGCCTCAGCCAAATCCCAAATAGAACACTTGACAGGCAGGCAGGCAAGAAGCAGCACATAGCACGCTAATGTGCTTCAACCGAAACAGCGTTTTTAAGACAATTCATCAGGTTGGCAGCAATTGAAACAATTAGCACTCTGGAAAGGGCCATAAAGTAGCAAGACTATTAGGGAAGATGCAGTTACGGGCAGGAACCACCTGATTAGGGATGAAGAATTCTGAGTGGTTTAATTTTAATACTGTCAGAAAGGTTAATATTTAATTACAAATTATAATCTCTTTATCCAAGCTGTCTCAATATGTCTTCATACCCAGTAGAAGAAGAAGGAAAGTTCTGCTAACATGCTGGTGTAGAAATGAGAAGGGACTTGTTAAAAGACCAAGGATGCAAGTAATTTTTCACTTGGAGCGTCTAAACAAGAGGCAGATTCACACTGGTGCAGAGGGCCCTGAAAGCACGCTGACGGCGTCCTTCCATACCTACCTCACCTAGGAGAAGGAAGGAACACCAGCACCCTTTGGAGCAGTGGGCTGGGTGGCCAGGGCTCTGGAACCAGCCATTCTTTGGCACAGTTTCCAGTTCTGCTTCCTCCTGGCCCTGGCAGCTTGGTTGACCCCTCCAAGTTTCAGCTCCCTTGCCTCAAAGTGAACCTGTCCAGTCCAGTCCTGTGAGTAACAGTGTCATGAGCAGTAAGTGGGAAAATACAAATTGCAGCGAGCTTGGGCTCTAGCGCATGGCAGGCAGGTGCCTGATCCCTTGTCTCATATTTATTTATTACCTCATACTTTCCACAGCACTACCCCATTAACTGTCATTGATCCTGTGAGGAAGATAGCATAGATGCTAAATTAGACCCACTCTTCAGATGAGGAAACTGAGACCATACAATATTAAGGGGCCTGTCCAAGGTCTCTTGTTAGGGGAAGAAGTAAAATAAGAATCTAATCTCTTAGCTTCAATATTTGAATCTCTTCTTTCAGTACTGCTGGTCTCATCTGTAATAGGAGTCTGGATTATAAACTTGTCTAGTTGTCCCACATCACACAGGGAGAGGAAGGGCATGAGAAGCCCAATATAACCATGCATATATATTTAATTTTTAAATCAGAAGTGGTGCTTCTATAAAACTCTTACTTGTACCAGTCCTGTGGGTACATAGACACTTTCTGGCCATGTAACAGGCATGTTTGAGAACTGCTTTCAAATCCGAGAGTCCTGGACTGTAAGCGAGCTGTCTACTAGGGTCCTTGATGCCACCAGGACCCAAGGAGTGTTACATAGGAAGTGCCGTGCACAGGCCCATCACAGAGTAGGGCTAATGAAATGAGCTCTGGCCTGGGAGTCCATGACTTGAGTTCAAATTCTAGCTTCTAATCCCTACTCTCCTCATGTGTAAAGAGTCACTAATATCTCTGGACCTGGCTGCCCCACAAGGTTTTGTTTGTACATTCTTATAATTTCTGTATCAGATATATGAGCTTACTTTTCTCTCTTGTTAGCTTCTGCTGTTTCTCCCAATTGGAGCTTTGTTAACTTCCATTATTAGGGTTATAATCCTTTAGAAAGAACCTAATGGTGCTCTGTGATGCCATCCTGAAGTAGCATAGCAGAGTCCTAAAGACTTGTGCTTACAGTGGCAGTGTAATGAAGGGACCAAGAGCAAATATACAAGAGTTGAGTCCAGCTGCTTGTGTTCAAACCCCAACTCTAAACTACTCTGTGAGTTGGCTGGTTCTCTGTTTATACAGTTTTCTTATCTATAAAATGGGTTCAGTGATGGTGCCTATCTCACTGGATTATTATGAAGGTTAAATGAACTAATGATGTAAAATGCTAAACACCATTCTTGGCACATAGTAAACAGTCAGTACATACTGGATATTACTCCTCACCCTGAGCTAAGATCACATAAAACCAAAATTATTCCAGCCAAGAAAATCAAGCCCTGAGACTTACTTGTTCAAAGTTTCTTAGCAAGTAATAGAACTAGGGTGAGAACTGAGATCACCTGACATAAATAAGCTCTACAGCCTACTCCCTGTAGCCTGGGACATTGATTGACCTCTGGGCACAAAGCTCTGAACCCTTCAGATGAAAACTGCCCAGAGCCAGCTGACTGCTGGAGTGGAAACGAGACAGTATAGTGGCTAAGAGCATAGACTCAGAGCCAGATTATCAGGCTTGAGTAACCTCTGGCAAGTTTCTTTTATCCGTAACTCAGTTTTCTCATATGTAAGGCGGGGTGATAATAGTACTTACCTCATAGGCTGTACATGTTCTGAGTCCTTTATAGCTTGCTTGCATTGCCTGACACATAACCAGCATCCAGGGACTGTCAGCTACTATTGTCAGATGCCCATCATGTGGCTTCCAGCCCATTGCTCCCACTCAGCAGCACTCCCAGCCTTCCCATGTCCATCCTCCCACCCTTCCTGAGCCCTGTTTCTCTTGGCTGAGCTGCCTTGGCCCCCTGAAAATGCTTGCTGGCTAATGCCCCATGGGCTTCAAAGCAGTGATCAGCCCCATGTGGCTGTAATAACTTCTCCCAGCCCTTTCCCACTTCTTGGGTCAGGATCTCTCCTCAGGCCCCTGGTAAGACAGGGAGAGGGAACAAGGGCCTGTGTTACATAGAAAGAAACTGCAATTCAAAAGGGGGAGGCAGCAAGGCCACACAGACAAGCAGCAGAACTAGGACTGGAGGCCAAAGCCCCCTGGCTGCCACCCCAAGGCTCTTTCTGCCACCCTGTACCTCAGGTGCAGAGTGACAGGTCAGAGAAAAAAATCAGAAGTGCAGCTGAGCTAGAATGTAGCCTGGATTTCAGACAAAGCTGCCACCCTCTCAGGGTCTTGGCACCCATAATCCCCATCCCAGGAGAAGCATGTTCAGTGGGTACACTTAGATGGAAGTATGTGCTAGTAAGAGGAGCCTGGGGAAACTAAGGGGAACCCTGGTCTGGTTGGAGAGAGAGGGCACCTGGGAATGCCCTAACAACTGCCTAAATCCTGCTTTCTTCTTGAAGAGTGGGCACCCTACTCTGTGTTAACTCACAAATCCTGTACCACCTGATGTTCTCTTCCCCAGAGGCTAATCATGGTCAGGTCTCAACCCAGAGGGCCACTTCCCTGGCAGTCACCCCTCGGCCCAATAGTGGAGAGAGAAGGTCTACAAGCCACGTATGGATAGCTTCTAAATGAAATTGAAGAAATGTAAATAAATTAAAAGATTTATTAGTTTAAAAGAAAAGTAAACTAAGACAAAGGGGCATAGACCTACACTGACTTGCAAAGTTGAGGGCACCATAAGGCTGTCGGGCTATTTGTTGCTCCCGTCATCTCATCACAGTCCACGCTGATGGTGACTGACTGCCCCGCTTGGTGGGTGCTCCTCATCACCATCACAGCTCCAATGCCCAGCACACACAGGATGCCCACAGGAAATGTGGGGCGGATGGATGGATGGGAGGGGGGTGGCGGAGTGTGGGTAGGTGGACCAGAGGGTGGGTGGGTGGCTAATGTGACAATTAGACCAGTAGAAGCCTGAAAAAAGCTATTCTGAGCCAGATGTAGAAGGGCAGGAACATGACTTGGGTTTATTAAGGTAGAGAATGAAGGAATCATGCAGGGGATGAGTGGACTGAAAAGGAGGCAAGGAGCAAGAAAAAATACCTCATAAGAATAGGACAGAAGATCTTGGGTTGGTGTGGTCTGAAAGTATAGGGTATATGTGAGATACTCGCCTCCTTGACCCTTCCCTCTCCCTTCCTGCCTCCAAATAGACTCCTGCTTGTTTCCGCACAGGGCTTCATCAGGCTGGACATGTCTGAGTTCCAGGAGAGGCATGAGGTAAGAGTCTGGGGAAGCGTGGTTTGAAGGGCCTGTCAATTAGCATGACTGCCTGGGTGCTTTGATGTGACTTGTCACCTGGACCTGGGCCTGAGATAATTCCAGTAGGCTTGGGATTTGCCCTTTCATGGCATATTGTACAACAGGATCAATGATCTGTTTTGCATAGGATTTGCTCTGAAGAATAACATCACATCACAGGGTAGTCCTGCCACCTGAGGAGAGAGCTCTGATGTCCTTGTTGAGACAGGTGGTCTTAACAGTGTATAAAGCCATCTTCCTTCGCATGCCCATATTGGGAAATAAAAGCATAGAAAGGCCTTCCCAGTGTGTTTCCTTCCTCCTCCAGGTGGCCAAGTTTATTGGGTCCCCTCCAGGCTACATTGGCCATGAGGAGGGTGGCCAGCTGACCAAGAAGCTGAAGCAGTGCCCCAATGCAGTGGTGCTCTTCGATGAGGTGGATAAGGCCCATCCAGATGTCCTCACCATCATGCTGCAGCTGTTTGATGAGGTGAGAATCAGCATGGGCCAGGATGGAGTGGGGGGTGGCTGTGGACAGCAGGATCCAAGGGCCCAGAGGCCTCGGATGGTTCTCAACTTGCTGCTCCCACATTACATTCAGTCACTTAGCAGGTCTGGCTTTGCCCCCTCTCTGGACCATGGCAGCCCAGGCTGGACTTCAAGGAAAGATCAGCACTGCCCTAGAGCTGAAATTTCATTACTGCCCAGGCTACCTTCTAGAGAGACTGAAGTGGAGCAGAGATGCCAGGAGAGAGAGACCTGAATTTTTAGTTCTAGCTCTGCTCCATTTCTAGGCGTCAAGGACCCCATGTGACAAACAAGGAGGCTAGATCCAACATAAACTCCAAGAACCTTTCTGCTTCATGGAGCTCTTTTTTTCTGAGGAGCTCCAGGCCCATCACAAACTAGACAGTCCCCCTACTGGTGGGGTGGGCTCTAGTTAAAAAAAAGAAACCCTTTTATTTAGCACATTCTATGTACTAGGCTTATGCTAAAAACTTTACAGATGTTATTGCTAAGCATCACAATAGTCAGGCAACATAGAAACTATCTCATTTTTTTCTTTCTTTTTATTAAGGTATTATTGATATGCACTCTTATGAAGGTTTCACATGAAAAATCAATGTGGTTACTACACTCACCCATATTATCAAGTCCCCACCCATAGCCCATTGCAGTCACTGTCCATCAGTGTACTAAGATGCCACAGAGTCACTATTTGCCTTCTCTGTGCTATACTGTCTTCCCCGTGACCCCCCCACACCATGTGTACTAAACTTAATGCCCCTCAATCCCCTTCTGCCTCCCTTCCCACCCACCCTCCCACACCCCTTTGGTAAACGCTAGTCCCTTCTTGGAGTCTGTGAGTCTGCTGCTGTTTTGTTCCTTCAGTTTTGCTTCATTGTTATACTCCACAAATGAGGGAAATCATTTGGCACTTGTCTTTCTCTGCCTGGCTTATTTCACTGAGCATAATATCCTCCAGCTCCATCCGTGTCGTTGTAAATGGTAGGATTTGAGAAACTATCTCATTTTTTACAGAAGAAGAAACCAAGGTTCAGAGAGGTTCAAGTGAAGGCCACAGAGCCACTATGTGAAGGAGCCAAGATTGGGCTCCAGATACAGCTGATCCCAGAGTCCTCCCCTGCTGTACCATTCATTCTAAGCAGGGGAGGGAGAACTTATGATCATGGGAGGGATTGACCTTCCCCTTCCCCAGCAGCCCTGCAGAACCAGGGATGTTGCTTCTCTTCTGCTTCTGTGCAGGGGCTGTATTAATGCATGACCAAATAGAATGCAGCCCACCTTTCCACTTAGCTCCCTCCAGCCCTGGGAAAGCAGGAAGGGATTTTGCTTCCCATGTGACAAGGGCACTAGATGAGGTATTCTCTGGACCAAATAGCACACTCAGTACCAAGCCAGGAAGACCCCGGTCCAAATATGCCCACAGCTGCCCATCACCCTCCCAACATGGCCCAACATCCTTGCCCCTGCCTTGGTTTTGTCACTGTCTTCCTAGCCCCTCAGCTGCTCTCTGTGCCCAGACTTCCACTGAGGAGTGAAGACCAGTCCTTTAAAGGTCACATACTTATTTTCCCCTAGCTGTGCTCTGATACCTCCACTCCATTCCAGTCTCTTGATGGAATTCAAGTACATAGCTACAGCCCAGACCTAAACTTGCTTTCTGGGCACTCCCTGCCTAGTAGACAGAGAGAAAGGAGATGTGATACTAGTAAACATTTTTATACTTTATATGCCAGGCACTGTTCTAAAAAATTTACTTGTCAACTTAATCTCCTCAACAACTCCATAAAGATAGTTGTTCTTATTATTGCCTCCGTCCAACAGATTTGGAAACTAAAGTAGACAAGTAACTTGCCTACAGTCACACAGCTGGGAAGAGGGAATCCAGGATTTGAATGCAGCCCGGCTTCAGATCCTGCAGCTTAAGTAATAATTACCATGTAGCCAGGGCCAAAAGAGAAGTAGATCTGCAGTGAAGCATTCATAGGAAGGGAGGACCGAGCTCAGGGAGAGGGAGCACAGCACCTCTGATGACCTCATAGCCCAGAAAGAGGAAAGGCAATTGCGGCCTGAAATATAACCCACTCCACCTGGAAGAGCTTGCCGCCCCACGGGTAAGCTCTGTCCACCCCTCCCCTGCTGCTGTCACTGCACTGACTGCCTTTTGGGAGCTGATAATAATTCCTTCCTGCAGCACCCCCCAGCCTCCTGCAGTTTGTGAGGTTTATGTTCTTGGTTCCATTGACCTAAAGCTGCCATCTGAGATTGCTTGGCCATTTTTGCTTTTTACTTGAGGACAGCAATCTTACTCCAACCATTCCTGGAGCCCACAAAGTCAGGGGAAATGCTCTGTTGACTAGTTTAATTCAACAGTAACTCAGCAAACCTTCCAAGAATGAGTAAGTGTTTACTAGGTGAACAGGGTGGAGAAGACCCAGCAGCCAGTGCCTCAGGAGCAGAAACACACAGGCATGGGGCAGCCTAGTATATCCAGGGAAGTACAGCTGTCTAGTTCTCCTCAAATGCAGAGAGAAAGTGAGAATAGAACAGTGGAGATGAGTGGGTAAGGTATGTAGAGCTCAGCTAAAGTGTGAGGCCAAGGAGTGTGATTTATTTTGTAGATCATAAGGAGCCTTTGAAGATTTTAAGCAAGAAAGAAATCTGGTCAGGTTTTCACTTTATAAAGATCCTGTAGAACACGAGTTAGGATGGCCAGTATTGAAAAGACTAAGAACAAAAGATGCTGGCGAGGGTGTGGAGAAAGGGGAACCCTCCTACACTGTTGGTGGGAATGTAAATTAGTTCAATCATTATGGAAAGCAATATGGAGGTTCCTCAAAAAACTAAAAATAGAAATACCATTTGACCCAGGAATTCCACTCCTAGGAATTTACTCTAAGAATATAGTTTCTCAGATTCAAAAAGACATATGCTCCCCTATGCTTATTGCAGCACTATTTACAATAGCCAATATATGGAAGCAACCTAAGTGTCCATCAGTAGATGAATGGATAAAGAAGAGATGGTACATATACACAATGGAATACTATTCAGCCATAAGAAAGAAACAAATCCTACCATTTGCAACAACATGGATGGAGCTGGAGGATATTATGCTCAGTGAAATAAGCCAGGCAGAGAAAGACAAGTGCCAAATGATTTCCCTCATTTGTGGAGTATAACAATGAAGCAAAACTGAAGGAACAAAACAGCAGCAGACTCACAGACT